GCATTCACAGGCAGACAAAAAGCTGAAACTTAAGAATGTGCATAAATGTGCAAAACCGTTATTCAAAAATTTAAAATGATTATTGTTCTGCTCTTACAAGCTGCTCTGGATCAGCTTATTTTAATTGGCTAACCCACCAAAAGAGGATAATCTTTACAATATTTAGTACCACAAAAATGCATATTTATTGTCTCTGTATCAGGGAAACATGCATATAAAGTAACTATTTGGCAAGAGTTACATTTCCAGTTCAACAACTGTTCCAAACTAGGAAAAATTACATTGGCGTGTGAACGAATGTTAATAAATATCTTGGTCAAATTTTAAAAAGCTACTGAGCCAAACAGTTATTCCTGTGATGTAACAGGAAAGATGACAGTTTTAAAGTACTGTAGGTTTTTTATATAATTCAGTGGTTTAATAATGAACAGTCTGGGAAAAACAGAAATGGCCTTTTGTAATTATAAAGTATCTTCCATCTGAAGAGCTCTATATGATTTACAAATAGGAGGAAGGTAGATACCACAAGTGTGTGCTTTAGGAAGCTTGGAATATATACATATAGGAACTTGATGGCTCAAGAGGTTGGTGATTAGGATATTTCCACATGTACGTTGCTGCTTTGAATGCTGGCCATATCAGTGGTTCTCAATATTAGTCAGCATCCAAAGTCTGTTCAGTGGTTTCTGTGAAATTACTTGGTGGTCTCTGTCCAATGCTAAATGGCTATTTAGTCGCCACCGCACATGGCACCAATTCATATCCTTTATTGGCAATTTTGGCAGAGAGGCAAAGGACTGAGGGTCTGATCCAGTGCTTGTTGAAGTCAATGGAAGGATTCCCACTGGCTTTGGATCAGGACCTAGACGAGACACTAAACTGCTATCTCCCCCTAAGTGGTCCCTTCAGAACAGGGCTGAGGCAGAATGGTACGACAATGTGAGGAAGACTTTTCTAAAGCTTCCATGTGGGAACGATTTGGTGGAGAGAGGCTACCTGAGTTGTCAATCTGGCAAACTTCACCCACAGCAAATTCACTCAGTTTCTTGTAAATATTTTTAAAATGAGTATAATAAAAAACCACACTGCACTCTTATCCTACGAGGAGCAAAAAGTGCTTCACAAACAGGGTTAAAAAAGCCACACAAAACATCTGTGAGGTAAGTAATGGATCTATAGAGATTACTTCATTCACCACTGAAATGCAGCTACTTCTGGAATGGCAACTAGCAGCTGTTTAACGGTATATGGAACACTATATAACAGTTAGGATGGGTGGCAAAGAAGAATACCACAATCCAACTGAAATTGCAGGAAGGATTAGGTAGACACAATGGCATTTGACCAGAGCACCAAGTTTAACATCCCTACTCTGAGGAAAATGCTATGGGGTCTTCACTGATGACATATGGTCAGGACATTAAGTTTTATGTATGAAATTGTTTTGGACTAGAAAACACAGGAACACAATTCTGCTGGCTAAGAGCCCTATTGGCTTTCCTCACTTAGAAAAACTCCCACTGACTTCACTGGGAGTTTTCATGAAGAAACATTGAATATGGTAGGGACTTGATCCAAAGTCCATTGAAATCAATGGGAATCTTTCAATGTCTTCAGTAGTTCTGGATCAGGTCTTTACAGTAAAACACTTAAGCTATATGCTTGTGATTAGGTGTTTTGCTGTATTGGGATGTTGTCATGACCCCTGGGTTGTGAACTCAGGCCTGCAGGATTCATGGGAGCAGCCCCACTCCAACCCTCCACCTGGCAGCCTGCTGACTATGGCTTACCTGGAATCCACAAAGCCCAGTCCCAGTGTGAGGCTCCATCCTGAGGTCCAACTGGCAGAGCTTTGGAGAAGCTGATTGGACCACTGGCCCTACTTAAGCCAGCAGCAGGAATAGGAAGTTGTCTGAACAACTGGGCTCCACTCTGCTTCTTCAGATTGATTTCCTGGCATCCCATCTCAGCTTGAATCTTGGCATCTGACTTGTGATTCCTGATCTCCAGTTTGTCTCCTGCTTCTGACCTGCCGGTATCCTGACCCAGCTTATGCCCAACTCCTGTCTTGTGACTGCGGACTCAGGCTCCTAGTTGCCCATAACCTGGCCATGACAGCTTGTTTGGGCCAATAACCCTGCGGGACTCATTCTGGTGTAAGAAGGATGGACCCACCACTGCCACCAGTATTGGCTCAACCAGACATGATGCAAGCTTCTGTTGTGGAAGCCAACACCTCTAGTACAGTGATTGGGGCCTTCCTCTCCCAAAGGCAGAGACCTGAGCAAATTCTGCACCCTATCAACTACTACTTGAGGAGGCTTACCTGCTCAGCAAAACTACAAGATCTTGGACGAGGCGTTTCTGGCAATTGACTGCCTTCAAAGAGTGGTGAAAGTACTTGGAAGGGTCCCATCATGCGGTCAAGTTGATCATAAGAACCTGGAGTAACCAAGTCAAGGCCCTAAACCAACAACTACTCCAGTGGGCCCTATTCTTCTCACTGTTCAACGTTACCATGATCTACCACCCTGGAATTAGTTATGGCAAGGCTGATGCCTTGTCCTGAAGATATGGCTCTGATCCACAAAGGCCAAGTCCAGAACCAGCTCACATTCTCAAGTCCCATAATTTCCTCACTGCCAGGACCTACTCATGCTCATTGCTTTGCCTCTGTCTCTGATTCCACCCAAGAAGTTGGACATTGTCAACTGAGAATCGCACAACACCTGGGAGAGGATCATGTTCATAAGGGACCAGATCTATGTTCCTTCAGGAGTTGGTAAGAGAGGTGATTTTTCAACTATGCCATGACTGCACCCTGGCAGGATACTTAGGGTGAAATAAAACCCAGTGATTAATGTCCTATTTATTCTGGTGGCCCTGTACATGCCCCATGAGAGCTTCCTGCCAGGTGTGTTCCTGAATCAAGATCCCCACCAGAAACTCCGCTGTCTCTTCCAACTTCTGTACATCCACCTCTGAGCCCTGGTAGGCCATTTCCTTGGACTCTGTGGTAGAACTACCAGTGGTTTCATGATCATCCTGACAGTGGTAGATCACTTTTCTAAGATGGCTCACTTCATTTCCTGCACGGGTTTACTGTCCATGGGGGAAACCGCCTGGCTCTGGATAAACAACGTAGTCAGTCTTCATGGCCTCCCGGCTCATATCACTTCTGACCAGGGGGTCACAGCTTACTGCTCTGGCATGAGTCTGACATTTATTAGGAGTCTACATCAATGTTCCCTCTAATTTTTCCCATCCATGTGCGGAATGAATTCTGTTATGTGCACCAATATAGAGGTGATGTGTGACAGACTGTGTGCCTTGTGCTTCCTGCTCCTTCAGCTTGATCTACTGGCATCCTGACCCAGCTTGACTCCTGGCATCTGACTTGTAGTTCCTGATCTCCAGTTTGGCTGCTGCCTCTGACTCTCCAGTATCCTGACCCAGCTGACTCATGACTGCGGACTCTGGTTCCAACTAGTAGGTCTGGCTGGCCATGATAGGCATTAAGGATCAGATTCAAAACCACTGAAGTCAATGCATTTTGGATCAGGCCCTAATATGTACCAGAACAGTGTTTTAGAAGACGTCCACCTGCTTGTATGGGACAGAAAGTCCATTAATCAGTTACTTAATCTTATTTTTTTCTAATAAACTTAAGGAGCCAACAGCATCCTCTGTGTAATTCTGGCTAATAAAACCGGAGTTACATGAGGGGTTAATCCGGCCCAAAAGCCATATATATCGACACCTTTTTTAAAGGTAAGTATGACATTACATGCCTTTCCCATATCAACTAGACCAGTTTTATTTGCTTTCATAATTATATAGGATATTAGATGTACTGCAGCATGGTCCTGTTTAATAGGTTAGCTTTATGTGTGCACTTCAAGACAGTGAATCAATGCAGTTACCAATTTGGTGGAAAGGAGTTGGAAAAGGGGAGCAGTTATGAAATTATCTAGAAAACATGTACAAGTTAAACCCAATACTGTGGTTCCCTAAGTGACTCTGAACTCTTTAATAATTTATGTATGGAAGAACAGAGGCTTCATTGGTCCTAAAAGCCTGAACATAATATCAGTGTTAAATATAAAGGCAACAAGGTGTCAAAATATGGAAATATGTTAAGTTAAATAATACCATCTGTGATGATCTCACATACTGTAATTTGATTAATGGCCTGAACCTGCACAGGGTCACTTACTCCCATATGGAGTCACACTGAAGTCAATGGAATTCCTTTGTAGGAATGGAACCTAATTTATGTTTTTACAAAAGAATCATAATGGATCCAAAATACAACTTTGCTCATAAGATGCTTTTCAAACTGTTGAATACCAAGTCTAAAGCAGTTCAACATTTTAAAGGAAGTGGGCCAGATCCTCAGTTGGTGTAAACTGGAATAGTTTCAATGGCTTCAATAGGCGGTTCAATCTATAACAATGTTAATATTTAATACAAAATCTCTGTTAGTTCTATTGGTGTACAGTGCCTAGAGTGTTAGGTGCTTCAAAACCTGAATTAAATAGAATAAATCCAATTATATTTCAAAATAACCTGTCACAGCCTTAATTTGTTTTTTCTTGGATAGCTCAAGGATGACATCAGTTAATTTACCAGGGACATTATTGTTAAACTGGACCCCCTTTTTTTCTTAAACACCGGGCCAGATCCTCAGCTGATGTAAAGTGGAGTAGCTGCACTCGCTTAAATTTTATTTAATTATTGTATTTATTTCAATTTATGCAGCACTTCTCTAATGCTCTAGGTGTTGTAAGCCAATAGTCAATACAATAATTAACATGCTCAGAGACAGAACTAATCAGAGCTTCTGCCAAAAAAAAAAAAAAAAAGCCACCAAATAATCAGGACTGATCAATGGCTCCTTTGAACGTTACTCTTTTGTTATTCAGTTAATAAAAATTTAAGGGGACACTTTCAGCTTTATAAAGTAAAATTGTTTAATTTATTATGGGCTATTTGTTTTATAGGATTTATCATCCATGATTTTTCTAGCATAATCTTTACGTCTACTTACTTATCAATTGGTTTGTTGTATTAGTCCTGATGGGATTTCTGCCCAAATATAACACGGCTTCCAAGCGTGACACGTACGGCTGATAGCCGCAGCAGCAGAACGAGCTCACGCTCTTGTGTGTTTCTGTGATCTCAATGGTAGAAAATGATGATGATCAGATGGTAGTTTTCAGAAATCAGAACAAGGCCAAAATTCAAAAGAGATGAGAAATCTGTAGAGAAAATGACAATGAGAATGTTTTTATTAAAAAAATATTTCAAAGGTATTTTCAACGTGTTGCACTGAACAAAGAAAAAGAGACAACTGGATGGTTTGGGAGGCCAATGCTGCAGTATATGGAAATGAGGTCAGTCAGATTGTGCCAATTAAGGAATGAATTTGGCATGTGGTTACAAAAGAAGTTAAGAAAACGAATCAATTGTGTTTTCTTTTGTTAGAATTAGTTAGCTTGCTATAATACTTAATAAGCAGCCTTCCTATCATAAGTGGTTCCCAAATATTAAAAATGATCTTAATATTCCACTGAAGCAGCTAAGGGTCATTATCCTCATTTTACAGATGAAGCAATAGAGGGACAGAAAGGTTAAAATCTAAACATTCCAAAATGTCCAGTAACTTTGGGTGTCCTATAAATTCTCAGGACCTGATTTTCAGAGGAGCTGAGTACCCACAAGTTCAACTACAGTCACTGAGAGCTGCAGGTGCTCAATATCTCTGAAAATCAAACTTTCAGTGTAAAGTTGGGCGCCCAAAAAAATCAAGGCACCCAAAATCAATAGACATTTTTGAAAATTTTGGCCATAGTGACTTGCTGTATGTGCACAGAGCAAGTGAGTTACAGAGCTGGGAAGCCCAGGAGCCCAGATTTAACCCTCCCCCCCCAGCCAGTAGACAAAACTCCTTTTCTTTTTAAAACATCCCACTCTCCTTTACGCTTCATCAACTTAAAAACTGTTGAAACCCTAACCAGTTCCCATGGAGAACACACTATACCAAATTTAGTGCTAGCATAATCAGACAAAACTTTAGTCCGGTATGTGATGTCAGCCACAGTCCAAAACTCATAGCCTCAGCACTCCTCCCTCCAATAAACAAGACAGCACAACCTAGGGCACATTCTCTGTTGCTGTAAATTGTTGGTGTAAATCTGTGCCCCATAGGTTGCAACAGAATTGTAAAACTGAGTTGCATATTTCTGAATCACAACCTTTCCACGTAATTATTCAAGATCTGCTTTGGGAAATATTTTTAAACTCCTCCTTTTAGGGAAAAAAATGCCTAAATGCATTGAGTTTGATCAAAACTCCCATTGCTATAGACAACTAATTCTTCTTCTTCATTCCCTGTACAATAAGTGGGATATATGGAGTGAAGAGATTATGTCAAATGGAGTCAAAGAACCTCAAAATAATACAGGCATGTGTCCTGATACTGTGTTGCTGTGTATATGCTGCAGCTAACATGTCATTGTGTTCCAGCTTTGTAAAATCAAATGTTGCTCTAAATCCATCCCCTGATCTCAACCAACTTGTAGGCACCCTATCTATCAACATTTCTCTTTGGGAAACATGAATTTTCATGCTGAAAATAACTTATGCACCAACACTTGGAAAAGTTTTTTTTAATAATGTAGAATAAATCAGTTTGTGCAAATTCAAGGTAAGCACCTAAGGGATATGCAAGACAAAAAGCATCCCAAGCCTCAACAAGCAGCTTACAATTATTTCCAGCAATGCAGCCACACTAATATTTCCAGTTAGTGGAAGAAAAATTCTCTCCCCTTTGCCTCATAGTTTTCACCTTAAGCTTTGCCTATTCAGAGGGCCCAAGCAAATGAGAACAAAGGATGAGAAAACAAGTAGTTTGGGGACACAGGACTAGGCTAAGTAGTTGCTTACTAACCCAATATTACATTTATTTAGCATAAAACTCGAATCTATATTTCCATCAGTGCATGTGCATATCTCCCATTAGCACAAATAGCATGGCCTCACTTATGCACTTATAGATAATAGCCTTGTATGACAGCAGTTGAAATGAAGCCCATCCTACGCAAACTTCTGCACTTCCGTTGTTTTACCAGGGGCCAAATTATTGCTGTCAAACAACAACATGGTGCTGGGAGAGAGGTGCCATGGTAATGGGTGTCATATAAAAACAAAAATAGAATGCGACAGAATTCTGCCCGAGAACTTCCATACAGGAAGTATCCATATTCTTCCTGGGCATAGACCACTAGTGTTGCTGCAGTCCAGAAGGAACTCAGAGGAGGTATAACAGAACAGGTCTGGTGAAATGGCTCTCGATGTGTTTTGTGCACCAGACGACAACGGGAGAGCATCGTTGATGGGAAAATACGCTGAACTTTTTGTAAGTTGTAGCAAAGGCCTCTACTGAGTACTTCCCCAAGTGCAGCTAGAGGCATTGTCTGATCCTGTCCTCTGAAGGCGTTATGCCTCCAGGCACATCTGTTTGCCCAGGGCACCTCTTCCCTCCCTTCCCCCAGATCTTGTTGCAGCCTTAATTTGGCCCTTCATGTTTTTCTTGGATAGCTCAAGGATGACAGCAGTTAATTTAGCAGGAACATTATTGTTAAACTGGACCCCCTTTTCTTCTTTTTAGGTGATTAGTTATTGGTTTTCTTTGGTTATCAGCAGATGACCTACATGTACAGTAACAGCTTTGTAACCACGGTGCTACCCTCCGATAACGGCTCAGCTTGGGTTATGATTAAAAAAGATGCTTGTGCTTTGGGCACGATGATTTTTAGCCATTGTTTTACATTCAGTGCACTTCAGACTTTGAATACAACAAAGAAAAAGTAACCCGCAGTGCACGACTTGCATATATTCTGTACAACCTGTTGATATAGCCACACCAATAGGCAGTCCAGACCTAGACACCGAAGATGATAAAGGTTAGGGGACACAACACAGTAATGTACTGTACATTATAAGGACCCAGTTGTTACCCTCAGTCACCTGTGGTAGTACTTTATTTCCCACACAGTCTCATGAAGCCAAGGAGGCTACTTGTGGCCTGTGGGACTATACAATGTGAGCAGAATTGTGTCCTAGATGTAGGAAAGTTTTAAGAATCACTAAAGGATGCAGGCCTAATATCAATGTGGCAGTTCTCACAGTGTGATGAAGCCAGATGCACCAAAGATGGACCTTCCTGGACCTCTGGGGGGAAAGGTGTTTACTACATGGGGCTCTCAGAACACTTCTGGATGACCTATCTAGATCATGATACTGGTATTCAGCTCATTTGTACAGTGGGCACTCTTTGTGAACTAGAAGCAAAGTGTTCAGATCCTCAGTCACAAAACTGTGTCTGTTTTCAACTCTCTTTCTGTAACTTTTTTGTTTTCTCAGATGACTAGGGCTCTAAATGGACTTATTCAAGTGTAAGTCTTTATACTGAGAATAAAGCTTTTAGTAGTTAAACATTCATTAACAGAGTTAAACCACAGCTTCAGGTGACAGAGAGTAAGCAGATCTTTGCCAGTGTTCAATGATGTGTTAGATTCTTTGTGTCAATTATTCATGATGCTGTTGCTGAAGGCTTCAATTTTACATAAGTGAAAGTCACAAGGGAACTGTTATGATGCTGAGCTACGAAGAGCACAAAAAAAGAACACTATATCAGTCTGTACTAAAGATGTAGTTAGCTATTATGTTTTGGTATTTTGGAGTTAGTCTTTTAGAGTGGAAATATAAAATCTTTTTCAGAAACAGAGTTTCTCTGAAGAGTGGTAAATGGAAAACTAAAATCTATTTGCTTGTAGAAACATTAAATGGTCTCTCAGACCGGTTTCTTCTTGTCTTGTGAGTGTTTCCCTCCAAAATCCCTAAATGTGAAAAATGTTGACTTTCCCAAAATATTTGCCACAACACCCTAACATTGTATAAAACATAGCTACTCATTTTTATTTCAGTTTAGATAACTTTGCTACCACCCAGTTATATACCCCAAGTTCCCATATCTTTCAAAAAACTAGCCAGCTATCTGGCACTGTGTCAATTTTCATTTGTTCTGCAGCGTATTGTATATATCTACCCTTGCCTTCAGAAGGTAAGAACTTTTGGGGACAAACGCACCAGAAATTTGGTGCAGTTTACCTATTGCATATAATCATGCATGCTTATGGCACTTCACCTACACTAACTGGAGCATCTACAGCAAACAGTGCTCAAAGTTAATTCTAATTCAAGTTATTTCTCCCCAGTCAACATAAAATGAATGATTTAGCCGAATAAAAGTGAAACAGTAAAGTAGTACAGTAATTCTGGCCCATGTAGTGGAAGTATTTGGACATATTCCTACAGGAAAAATGATTTTGAAATAAGCTTCAGGCAAAAAAAAAATCCATGATAGATGTAAATTAAAACATATTTCCTCCCATACAATGTGAAATGTTGTTTCTTCTCTATAATATGAAAGTAGGTCATGCTTTGGTAAGGCATTTCCCTACTTTTCCCCCCTTAATGTAAATACATTGAAATACTTTCTAGGAGAATATTTTAATTATTCACCACATTTTAATCTTTAAGAATGATAAATGAACAAATATTCCCCTTCCCCTTAATGACTTTCTAGAACCACAGTTATAAATATCTTTTTCTAATCTAAGTACTCAGGTTACAGCCATCTATATTTTTATGGAGAATACGTTAAATTGTTTTGGGCAACTTTCTTCTTTTTCCATTCCATGCTTAAAGAACTGCATAAAAATGTAGTGTCATAAATAATAAAATTGAAATACATCGTGAATTGCTGAAAAGATTGCCATGCACAGTAATGTAGTTTAGTTGATTTTAAATCACGGGGTATAGCAGAAAGCAAATCTGTAACATAATAGCCATTCAAGATCAATTTCACATCTGTAGAAGACAGTGAATCACACATTGCATAGTTATGGATCTTGACCACATAATAGTGTGCACAATTAAAACACTTAATCCGATAAACTATTCTGGGATTGACTGATTTTTTTTTCAAATGTGGAATCAGGCGTTTATTTATCCACATGGTAACTACCATGTATAGTATAGCTGAATATAAGATGTACTCAGAGGGCAAAAAAAGATAGACAAGTTTGTATGAACTGAGTTTCCAGAAAAGAACAATTATCAACAGTCTTCAACAACTGAGACAAAGCAGCCAGCACTACTACCAAATTGTCCACTAGGTGTCACAAAATAATCA